AAGAGTCAAATGAAGTGGATCCCGTGTCCAACTTTCTGCCAAAATACTTGTCTTTCTGTCTTGACCCATCTATCTACTCCCTACTCTCTGGTCTCACTCACGCCCTCTCACATCTTCTGATTTGTTTATATTCATCCACCCTTTTTTGGCGAGCTTAGCGCAGCGTCATCTCACTTGCCGTCTGCCTTGCCCCCCTTCCTTCCGATTTGCTGATTTGACTCGGATCTCCCTCATGGGCCAGTAGATCAGTTTCCTATCTTTCTGGTTGACCGATTTTACACTTCCCAGTCCCAGTGTACTTCTTACTGCAGGCGCTATTTTTAAAGCCTCTAGTTACACGTAAAAGCGGCCTCATCTGAAGAGCGCCTAGGCTCTCATTCATATGCTTGCGGGTGTTAGGCATTGCTTTCACGCGCCACTTCCTTGATTAAGCCCGTGTAACCTGAGCAAATTGTGCACTTCTGTCTCTGGTCACCTACTACCTTTCGAGAAGATTTCTGGTCAATTTGGCTTTAATGCCGAATTTCTGTGGCAGTTGTGATTATCCGTCCGCCTAGTTACGTGGCCACCGGGCATCCCAGAGTTATAGTTGTTTCTTCGAGCAGACTAAACTCACTGAGAACGTCTTCGCCTGATTTGCGAAACTTCGTAACCCGCTTCTTGATGCCTTCCTTCCTTCCTTCCTTCATCCCTTTTCCTCTAGTTAACGAAAGATCCTTAGCCCAGGCGTCTCCTTTTGCTTGTCTCGTCGTGTCCTTATTTTCTCCGATTAGGCTTGGGCAGTAGGCAAAGTAATAACCCACTCTGCCTTCTGACAATCCCTGTTTATTAAAGTTTTTCCCCCAAGGATGCCAATGGCCTCGCTAATCTTCCGTTTCCTTGTGGTTTCCCCGTATAAGGCTCTTCCTTTAGTCGCCTTACAATTGATTTCGTGTCCAGTTTGTGTGATGTGTTCCACTATATCCGATTTTTCGGTATCCATTTTCCTGCAGGGCCTTTGATGTTCCTTGATTCGTATGCTGATTTTTCTCCTTGTTCCGCCAATATATTTCGGCTTGCAGCCTCCACAGGCTAAGCGGTAAACTCCCGAGAAATCCAATTTGTTCACCTTCTCATGTTGCGTGATTAGCCTTGTGAATGGTGTTATTTTTTTACCTTCGTGGTCATCTGAATGTTACATTTTCTAAATATTTGCCTTAGACTTTGAGCTAATTCGCAGAAAGGGAGGCATATCAAACTTTTGTAAGGTGTTCTCTATCTCTACCTTTCTTTTATTATCCCCGTCTTGCCATCGGTTTTCAAGGCTGTACGTTTCTTTGTATTATTTCTCTAGGGTATCCGTTGTCGAGGAATATTCGAGTCAACATTTCCTATTCATTATCTAAGAATTCCACGTCCGTTTATCGTAAGTTTCCGATGATCATACTTCTCAGTAGTTGTGATGATACCCATAATTGAGTATTATTCCGGCATAGTACTTCTTTTTGAACAACTTTTTCTTGACTGTCCTACTAGATCGTATAACTTCAACATCCAGGAATGGTAAATGCCCCTCT